ATTGAAAAAATGCCTCGTGATGAAGAACAGAAGCCTACAAAAATAAGAAGGGATTATGCAAGGAAAGGAAAACACAAGTATGAAAATTGGCAAAGAAAATATGAACTTACCCGGTTCAGGGCTTGTTGGGCTTCGTTAAAAAGGCAAGGCACTCCCACCTCGCTCGAGCTCTTTTTCGGAGCCTCCGAGTCACTCGGACCGATGATATCTTCTATACCGATAAAATAACCATGGAAAGGATCCTCCCCTGCATGGGCTCTTTCCCCGTGACAAGTTTCCACAGCTTGAGCGTCACGTATCATCAATTGGGAGAAAGAAGGGAAAGAGGGGGAATCCCCGATCTCTATCACCCCGAGTAGGTCTTTTGGGGCACTGCCTCCGTCTTCGGGAGCCCCAAGCTCAGTTTGAACACCGGCATTCACCGCCTCTTCGACGGTCTCTTTACCCCCAGGTAAAAGATCCTCGGTCTCCAAAGGCTCGAAAACTTGGGTCGAAGTCCCCTCCTCGACCTCATCAAGCCTATTTAGAGCAGTATCAACTCCCACTGATACCGATGTATTCTGAGTATCGGTGTTAGCCTGGCACGAGCCAATAGCACGAAATCGCTTTCTTCTTCTTCTTCATCCCTTAGACTGAGGACCGACTCCATAGTCAAAGGGATTATGTTCACCTTGGGTTTTCGAGCCACTCTCTTTTTGGGTTTTTGACCCTCGGAGTCTGAGGCCCTTTTTCTTTTAACCACCTTCTCTGGTTTTGAGATAGGCGATAGAATCTTTTTCATCAACTGATGGGAGTCTCATAACCGCATCTTTTCTGAGACCTACAAAGAAAGGAAAGTGAGAAACACTAATGCCCGAAAAAAATACTTGAACAGATTGGTGAGCCAAGATGAAATCTTACCATGAGTACGAGCTTCCTATCGACCCTTCGATAAATCACGCCATGAGCACTCGGCAAATGATGACGTCGAGACTAGGTTTTTGACCCAGTTCTCGAGGTAGGGAATCACACCCGGCATCCAAGCAACGGATGCATCAAGAAAAACACTAATAAGAAAGGATGAAGAAGTAAAACAATAAACAGAAATTTAAAATGGGATTATACTTACGTTTCATATTCCATTTATCAGGAAACAGCATGCTCTCAGCCGGGATCAAGTCCGAGGTCTTCACTCGAACAAATCGGCCCATCCAGCCCCGATCCCAGTCTTCATCTATAGTCGAGGTAAACAGCTTGGTGGCACGACGTTGAAGCTTTATCAGCCCGCCTCGGTAAAGTCGAGGGCTGTATAACCTTACGAGGTGTACGAGGGTGAAGGAAAGCCCATCGATTTTGCTCACAAAGAAACGGATCAAGATCACGATCCTCCAGAAAGAAGGATGAATTTGGCCGAGGGTCACCTGATATTTCTTGCAAAAGTCGATGATGACTGGATCGAGGGGACCCAGCGTGAAAGGGTAAGTGTAAACACTCAGATACCCTTCCACGTGGGTAGTTATCGATTCCTCCGGTGTCGGTATCACGACCTCTTTGTTTACCCAATTACAATCTTTCTTCACCAAATCGAGGACCCGGCTCGCATCGACCGGCAACCGAAGATGGTTTATCGACCTTAAAGTCAGAATCAATAACGCATCCCCTAGGAACAAGCTTTTCAAGGTGTGGCTCCATCACCGATTTCTCACCGGCCGGCCCAGATGAGGAAGCAACCTCTTTCTGAGGAACGGTTTTAGAAATCTTGGCCATCTAAATTTTCAAGAACAAAGAAGATGGGAAATTAAAATATTTTGTTTTTTAACAAAGAACAAGCAAAGAAATTCTTAAAGCTAGAAATAGAGAACTTTGGAGAAGACAAAGAACTGTGAAGGTTGGAATGAGAAGAGTTAAAGGTAAAGGGTTAAAATAATGATGAAGGGGAGCTATTTATAGGTTTGGAAATGACGGTTCAAAATCAGCAGTGGCCGACCATCGTCCGACACACATTTAATGCCTTGGTAACTGGACCGACGGGATATTTTTCACATACGTCACAATCGAGCTTAACGCAGACGTCAGTATTTATCTAGTCAGAGGTTGAAAAAATCATATCGTTTCTCGCCACATTCTTTTCGAGAAACGAGGGGACTATCTATATACGGTCTAAACCGAGTATGCCCCCCGTATGACTGATCGAGTTTGGGGCATGATGGTCCGAGGTCCGTCATTGTAATATCGAGCTATGATGTGAAGTCGGGCATTCGATCCCTAGAAACCGATCAAGGTCGGGATTAGCCGAGATCGACATCGAGCCCAGCTAGAGGTCGAGATCCAGAGATCGATCAAATATCGAGACCAAGTCAAACTCGAGCTCGAAACCAAAGCTCGAGTCACTATCGAGCTCGAGTCAATATCGAGCTCGAGACCTAGAGACCGATCGAGCTCGAGTCAAGGGTCAACAAAGTCATTATGGCCGCACTAAGGGAGAGAATCTCGACAGAAATCAAGGAAAAGCTAATTGATTAATCCATCATGGGATCCCCACTATGTATTTTAAATTATATATAAAATAGAATTTTTTTCATTATATTATAGTAGCTGCCATTTGTAAGAGGGATATATTGATTCACAGACTGGCATACACATTCATACACTTCTCACATTCAGAGACCATTGAGATTTACATAACAAATAGTAAATATAGTCCTTTCCTGTTCTTTGGGTATTGATTCATTTTGTTTACTTATAAATCATTATCTATTCAATTTGGATTTGTATTCATTTTTTTTTACAATCAATATTCGATATATTCCCACCTATTTTTTTGATTTGTACCAATTTATACCACGTATCCTTGGAATTGCGTATAAATTCAACTCTATCCGTTTTTCGGGTAAACATCCATATAATAAAATAAAAAAAACTAAAGTTCTATGCAGAGGTAACATAAACCTAGCTGATGATAGAAATAGCGAGCAAATATTTTCTAAAATAGTAATAACAAAAGTTAGAAGCAATTTTTCTTATATCGGTCACCTTTTTTGTATCAATTGTACTTGAATTAGATTAGTCAAATTTATTTTATCTTACATAATACATATGAGCAACTTGAGTTGGCATAGCTATTAGTAATTATAATTATAAAATATAGGCAAAAGTAATCTTGAATTAATAAGAGCTGATATGAGTTAAAATGACTAATCTATTTTTTGTCACGGACTGCGTTGATCCAAACAATCTATACATACAAAAATTATAAATAATCAATTTTGAATTAACAATCTATATGAAACATTGTCTATCAAGACGAAGGTCTATTATTATATAGCTCCAAGAACAGACTAAAGTTTAGAAAGTTTACCTTAAATCATAAGTTAGTTTACCTCCGCACACCTGGACACTCTCACGAGTTTATGAAAAGAATGTGGCACGACTTCTTTAACAGCGTCAATAAACCTAAAAACAGTTTTATGGTCTTTCCTCCTAAAAATATTATTGAATCCTAAATCTAAACATAGATAAGAAGCTAAACCTAAATATATATAAATAATTAAAAGACACGTACGGCAATAAAACCAAATTGTCAACAAATCCTAAACCTACAATAAATCCTAATTAGTTGCAGAATCCTAAACTTTAATAAGA